AATGTAACACTTCTACCTTCGTGAACAATTTTGAGCATTTGGAGGAAATGCTGGAGTCTGTAGATTTTAACCTTGAAGAATCATTATCTTTGAAACCTCTCCAAGCAGCCACAAGACTAGCTACTCATGTCTTGAAAGAGCTGTTCATTGAAGTCAGCACTGTTTGAGAATTAGGAAAATATTCTCTATTCTCTTAGACAAATTCTCAATATTAATCTCAAAGATTGTGTAAAACAGAACCCACTCTTTTTTCAGCTGTATGATCCTATATGATACCGTTGATGGTTTAGCTATGCTACCTTTTTACTTTTAACTATAACTTTGTGTAGTTAACAGTAACTTCTGAGCTATCTTTGAAAGAATCTGGTATTAAGGTTAAAATGTGCAAGATTCATTTTCTGATTTTGTGCTTAACACAGTTGTTGATTTCTTGAAGGCTGTAGTCTGCAATACTATTTGCGGTATAAAATGTTCTGAAATTTGTGAACATTTAACAGTTTCCTTTTCATTCTTTTTGGCCTCTCAATTTGACATTTACTTCTCTTCTGCTTCTTACACCACTGGTGCATTCAGTAAAAAAAAAAAAAAGTTTTAATACATTTTAAGATGTCTTACTTATGAAACATAAATTAGGTAGTGATTATTTGAACACAAAACATTCTTGTAAATAATGGCCTTCTATAGTGTATTCAGCTAAAATATTTTTTTCATTTTTAGGATTTCATTTATTTCTAAAAAGAAAAATACTCTTTTCATAACTTGTGACTCCAGTATAAAAATAAGCATGACTTCACGTAGTGTTTCTCTCCTTGGCTTATGTCTTCCATTGTGCCATTGAAGGTAACCATGTCTTACTTTGTCTGAAGCTGTCGGCTACTAGTTTTATATTGTCAGTCTGCAGCATGAAGCTGGTGTCGTTAATGGTTGCATCTGATATCTGGGAAAGCAGTTGTGTTTGTTACACTCACATTTATAACTTCTGTGCACTGATATTTAGCGATGACAGTTTCAGGGTCTTCAATGAAATTTTAGATGTAAATGATTCTCTAATGACAAATACATTAAATAATTGCCTAAATATTTCTTTATAGCATTTATCTCTTCTTTTGAGAATAAAATAACTGTAGGCAATTTACTTAGTTTAATTTCATTTAAGTATTTTGGAGACATTTCTACAACTCCTTCCATAAAATGAACTATATAAAAGTGAGCTAATTAGAAAAAAAACTAATATTGCTAAGAGGTATATTTTGTTGCTTGTTAAATTCCTTAATCTGGTTAAATTGAGAAAAGTACAGGTATATGTGTAAGATATTCCTAATCTTTTAATATTTTGTCATTTTTAGTGTAGTTCTTTCATCCAGCACTAGCAAAGTTTCTTACCTTGCTTTGAAGTTCCTCAATTATCCTGTAATATTTCTTGTAGTTCTGTTTTGCTTCTTGACCATTAGCTCCAGGTCCAAAATTTCTTATACGATGCTTTGATTTTATATTCAAGTATACTGTTTGCCCACTCCAGAGCCCCACCTGGTCCAGGGAAACTGTGAAACGGTCATTTAGATTTCTTATCCTATTCTTCCCTCACCTGCTCCCAAGTTGGCACTCCCAAAGTTGGTGGAAAAAGCTCGCCGGAAGCCACCTAAACCACATTTCTCCCCTACAAGTCTTCCTTTCCCTTGACCAGAGACTAATTGCCATAGACTTGATTTTTGGGCAAAGTGTGACATGAAAGGCTTCAACCCTGCAAAACCCAATGCCTCCAGGAGAGTATTGAGAGGTATCAATTAGTAACTCCTTCTAGAGCTGATAAAGTGGATGTTTCATCTCTGATAGAATCACTTTAAGGATTTTTTTTTTTTTTTGCGGTACGCAGGCCTCTCACTGTTGTGGCCTCTACCGTTGCGGAGCACAGGCTCCGGACGCGCAGGCTCAGCGGCCATGGCTCATGGGCCCAGCTGCTCTGTGGCATGTGGGATCTTCCTGGACCGGGGCACGAACCCGTGTCCCCTGCATCGGCAGGCGGACTCTCAACCACTGCGCCACCAGGGAAGCCCGGGGGATACTCTTCATTGCGGTGCGCCGGCTTCTCATTGCGGTGGCTTCTCTTGTTGCAGAGCACGGGCTCTAGGCGCACGGGCTTCAGTACTTGTGGCATGTGGGCTCAGTAATTGTGGCTCCTGGGCTCTAGAGTGCAGGCTCAGTAGTTGTGGCACACGGGCTTAGCTGCTCAGCGGTATGTGGGATATTCCTGGACTGGGGATCGAACCCGTGTCCCCCACATTGGTAGGCAGATTCTTAACCACTGAGCCACAAGGGAAGTCCCTTGTCTCTTGTTTCTAATCTCTGTGAGGATGGACGCCACCTCCAGCATCCTCACTGTTCTTGTCCATTGTCCTTTGAGGTCAGAAAGACAAGAAGAACCTTATGGATCTCTGGATCAAAGGTCAACAATGAACGTCTATATGCAGGTTGGCCTTGGCTCTTCCTTCTTATCCATAAGTCCAACTCAGAAAAAAGAAACACATTCCTCTTACTTAAAAGTCGACTGGAGAGCTGAACTTTAGAGTTTCAAAATAAAGCCTATGCCTGTTGTGTGGTTTTAAAATAATTTTAGGGCAGATAATAAGGTGTGAACACCCTGTCCTTAACATTTTATTCAGCACTCTAAATAAATTTCACAATCCAAAATGGTTCAATCATTTCAGTTTTTAAAATCAAATGAGCTCATTTTACTGCACATTCTACTGCATCTCAGTATGTTGGCACCTGTGATCTGGCCCTTTCCATATCTGTAAACAATCATTTAGTACAAATACAGCATCTCAACACATGCCAAGGAAACCCAGAATGAGGGTTTCACCTCAAGATAATTTTCAGAGTAGCCATATACTTTTGCCCTGACATGAGGCTAATACCAGCTGTAAACATAGGTTCCAGGTGGTACAGGACTAGAAGACTGGACATGGGAAGACTCATGGAGAGAGGCTTTCCCGATGTGACTGTGATGGGAGGCCACATACAGCTGGTTTCCATGTCTGTCCTTCTGTCTTTAATCCAGACTGAATCAGCGAGTTCATATTTCTTAACTTTTCAGTAGAGGAGAAACATCCAAGGTTTAATTTGCTGTAATGCTTTGATGGGAAACATATGTTTGACTTAAGACAGTGTTGCTCTTTTTCTCTGAATAGTGGTTGATGCTTAGCTATCAACTTCATTCTGTGGTTACAGAGTGCCAACAGATTCATTTTTTATGTTTTATTCAGTGTGCCTAGAGGAAAACAAACTACATTATTTGGTTGTTTTTATTATTAAGCTTTGATACTCTCATGCAGCTCTTATTGATTTTACGTTTGAAGGTACAATTTACATGAATTACATTCAGGTTTACTCTTTTGTAATTTTTAATTTGGGTTTTTATGCCAAGTCCCATGTCCTTTTCTTAAGGACTGGCTTGTGGGATTGATGATCTAATTTGTGGTCTGGTCATATTAAATTCCTTGAGTGGGAAAGTCCTTACCCAGCCTGGCTTTGTCCTTTGCCTGTTTCTTACTGAGACTGACCTATACCACCCCCTACCCTACTTTAACAGGCTTCGTTTCCCAAGTAAGACAAGACAGAGCTCTGTGGACCGCCCATGGGGTAAAAGATTTCAGCAATGGAGAGTGGGAATAGGAAACACCAGCTTGGCTAGGTGACAATTTTTGGTTAGAGGTGTGGCTAGATTTGACAAGGGAGCAAATATCTGAGCATCTATTCCCTTTGGGACTTTCAAGGTTTTCGGAAATCTGGCACCATATCACATATCCCATCTTCTTTCCCAAGACTTTTATTTTGACCAGTCTCCTAAAAGCTCTGCAAACATGCACTGTCAGATTCCTGCGGCACTTCTGGTGGATACTGTGGAATCAAGCCCTTCACCGTTAACATCCTGTATTGTCTGCTATCTTCTTTGTGTTTTTAGCTTTCCTCTCCATCTAAAATGTAAGCTTCTTGAAGTAGGAGGTATGTCTTATGTTTCTTTTTTTTTTTTTTTTTTTTTTTTTTTTTTTTTGGTACGCGGGCCTCTCACTGTTGTGGCCTCTCCCGTTGTGGAGCACAGGCCCCGGACGCGCAGGCCCAGCGGCCACGGCTCACGGGCCCAGCCGCTCCGCGGCACGCGGGATCTTCCCAGACCGGGGTGCGAACCCGTGTCCCCTGCATCGGCAGGCGGACTCTCAACCACTGCGCCACCAGGGGAGCCCCTTATGTTTCTTTTTTTAAAATTAACCTATTAATTAATTAATTTTGGCTGCACTGGGTCTCAGTTGCAGCATGTGGGATTTAGTTCCCTGACCAGGGATCGAACCTGGGCTCCCTGCACTGGGAGAGCAGAGTCTTACCCACTGGACCACCAGGGAAGTCCCTTATGTTTCTTTTTACCTCATGAAATAGTTCAGTGATGGATATAAAGAAACTAGACATTAATTAATTATAGACTGATTATTCAATCTCATCCTTTTTTGTGGGCTAAGCTGTTGGCTGTAGTTTTAGGGACACTGAGGTCTAATTTCAGCTATCACTGAGTTCTAATGTGATGTTAAAATTTCCCACATACAAAATGGCTATAATTTTCATTCTCATGAAGAAGACGCTATGTAAATAATGAATAATGTGTACATTATTATTTGTAACGATAATGCAGCTAGATCATAATCTAGAGCTTCATTTCTGGGTAAAATATTGCATTTCTTTAAAAATATTCAGAAATAATTTAGTTGACTTGCAAAAGTCAATTTATTGAAGCATAGAAACAATTAGAGCAAAGCTGTCATTTCAACTTTTTCAAGAGAATTCTAATAAGAAAAGAAAAAGATGCAGAAAAATTGGTTAGTCATCTATTTCTGTATGGAAGCTTTTTCCCCAAGTTATAGCCGGAAAGACGGCTAGATTGATGTAACTTCTGCATTCGTGTCTTTTCGACTGTTTTCTCTGAAGGACACTCTTGTTGATCTGGAAATTGCCTATTTAAGTTTCACCTCAGAGACATTGCTGACTTGAGATGAGACAGCTTTGCCATCCACCACCACCTCTACAATGGTCTTCAGTCACTCTAGTCTAGCTTGGATCTGAAAATCAAAGAATCACAATGTCAGTCTGGAAACTGTCACAGAAACATAGATCAAGAGAAATCCAAACGCATTCACTGAGTATGTTCTGTCTGGGTAAGATGACGTGAACACTAGTATACACTTTTTATGTGACAAGCAATGTGTGCCTTTACGTTTCAATTATAAAATGATCAGGAATATGAAAAACATATCTACCTCTTCCTTGGACAGAACAGCTTCCAGATCTTGAGTCACTAGACATGGATGAATCCCTGGATCCGGTGTTTCTGGACCCTGTGTTTCTGATCCGAGTTTCTCAAATCAGATCCTCCAAAACAGAACCACTGGAGAAAAAAAGAATTGTTTTCCTTTGCAGTTTGCAAAGGCAGGAGAAACCCTCTATGTAGAGGGCTCTTTCCCATGAAGGCAGCTGTCATTTGATTGGACTCTTTTACTTTATAAATACTAGTCTGGTCCCCAAGCCCCTTTTTGGTTTCATAATGTAAATACACCAAGGTCTGCGTTTAGCATGTTCCTGACTTTCATTTACCCTCCTTCTCCATTCAAGCAGGCAGTGGTAGGGATCAATCTCCATCTCCAGGCGGGTCTTGATGTCCAGCAGCTGCTCATACTCTGTGTTCTGGCATTCGCTCTCACCCCGGATCTGGCAGATCTGCTCCTCCAGGCCGCTGATCTGCATCTGAATTTGTGACAGCTGTGCCGTGTAGCCAGCCTCCGTGTCAGCCAAGGTTCCTTCCAGGGAGCTTTTCTTTTTTCTTTTTTTTTTTTTTAACATCTTTATTGGAGTATAATTGCTTTACAGTGGTGTGTTAGTTTCTGCTTTATAACAAAGTGAATCAGTTACACATATACATATGTCCCCATATCTCTTCCCTCTTGCGTCTCCCTCCCTCCCACCCTCCCTATCCCACTCCTCCAGGCGGTCACAAAGCACCGAGCTGATCTCTCCAGGGAGCTTTTCTAAGGGAAAAAGCAAATAAAAATTTCATGATGAAAATAAATCATTGGATGATTAAAAAAATACATTTTATAAGATACTAGGAGAAATGCACTTTCCATGAGTTACAAGCTCTATTGCTCTATCATTGCTTCCTTAATTTTTGTTGCCATTACTTTTTTTTTTTTTTTTTATGGTACGCGGGCCTCTCACTGTTGTGGCCTCTCCCGTTGCGGAGCACAGGCTCTGGACGCGCAGGCTCAGCGGCCATGGCTCACGGGCCTAGCCGCTCCGCGGCATGTGGGATCTTCCCCGACCGGGCGCGAACCCGTGTCCCCTGCATCGGCAGGCGGATTCTCAACCACTGCGCCACCAGGGAAGCCCCTCGCCATTACTTTTTTAAAACGAAATCTTTTATGGAAATAGATACATTACTTTCAACTGGAATGTCTCATGCTTTCAACAACCACAATACAGTCCTCCCTAATCCTGCTTTTATTATGTGCCAAGTGGAACATCTTGGCAAAGAAAACCGAATTGCTCCACTGGAGATTTTTGAAAAGCTCTTTGCACAAACCATAGCCAGTTGGGACTGCAGCTCAGTTTTCAGGGCTTGCAGAGTGCATTTCAGTTCTGTGATCTCATTCTCGGTGGAACTGGCTGGCCTGGCATCAGCATCGGTAGAGATCTGTGCTTGCGGAGATGCGCTCTAAATACAAATAAAATGCAGTCTCGTTGCAGGCTGATGATGAGTTGAGGCTGATGAGATGGGGCTGATGAGATGAGGCTGATGAGATGAGCGGAAGTGGGGTGTGTGTGTGTGTGTGTGTGTGTGTGTGTGTGTGTGGCCGCGGGCAGGGCTCGGAGGCTCAGGGTGATGATCTACCTTCTCGTTGAACTGCTCTTCAGCCTCACGGCGGTTCTGCTCAGCCAGCTCCTCATACTGTGCCCTCATGTCATTCTGTAACTTAGGTCCGTCCCTGGGTTCAGTTCTACGGTCACATCCCCTCCGGAGCTTCGTTGCCTACCCTTCATTTCCTAGCATGAAGGGAAAATAGACCAGAGTGATGAAAACTGAAAAGCAATGACTTCCTAAAATGTGCTTAAGCCAACAAAAGGTTGAAACTAGGACACTGAAGGGGAAAAAAAGAACCCAACAAATTCACATATAATTTTCTCATCATTACTTTTCTCCCCCGATTATAGAAGTTGGAAATCCATCCAGATGGAATTTACTGTCATAGGATGGATGTGGGGGAAACTGTAGACAAGAGTCATTTAATCGTGGACCGTGTTCCTATCAGGTAGGCCAGCTCCTCTGTGAGGCTCTCAATCTGCATCTCCAAGTCAGAGCGAGTCATGGTCAGGTCATCCAGGACTTTCTGCAGGCCATTGATGTCAGCCTCCACGGTCTGCCGGAGATGCAGCTCGTTCTTGTATCTGGAAGGGTACAGTACAGCCCATTTCAAAGAGTACAGTCCATCCTTTCATATTCAAGAAAATATTTTCTCCCCTGAGCAATTTGATCATTGAAGGCTAAGTTTTCTCTTAGGGGTTTTTTCCTTGTAAAGAAAAATCTGAGCCTTATGTTAATTCTATTGATGGCCAATATTTCTGATAACAAAAATTTCCTCCTGAAGTTGCCTTTCTTTTCTTGTTGGTGGAATGATGGTTTTTAAAATGTACCCTTGGGATGTTTGTGAATTCAGGTCTTGATCCCCTAAAAGGTTTCTTTAAAATTTAGAGTAAACTAAGCCAAGGGATTGAATTTTATTTCCTAGGACGTTTGTTTTCAAGTCTTCGTTTTTCTTACTTCAATCTGAAGTCATCAGCAGTCAGTCTGGCATTGTCAATTTGCAGAACAATCCCAGCATTTTCAATAGTGGCAGTAAGGATCTAGAAAAGACAATAACAGTGAATAAATCGTGAATGCTTTTTACTACATGCCCACCTGTGAGAGTAGATGTCTCCTGAGTTAGCTTTTAAAGGTGAATTGCTTTGAAAGTTTGCTTAGTAATGGCACCTGCATTGATAATCCTAATGTATTTAGACATCTTTCTGCAAAAATTAACAGCTTGCACATTTATTGGAATGGGCATGGAACCTTGCTTTACAGAACACAATCCTCTGAATATTTCTGATGCTTTGGAAGATCAGTTGTTCTATGGGCTCTTTCAGAAACAGTGTGAAACATGAATTCCACTTCCAAAAAAGTCTTTAAAAATATACTTCCCATACAACCGTGGTTAAACATTTTAGATTCCACCACATTCTCATACAATATTTGCACCAGACTTTCTAGGAAGAAAAATAGTTGTAAGACAATTTAAATCTAGCAAGACACTAAAATACATCAACCTGCCAGAATTAATCACGAAATAATTAGATGAAGCTTGTATCAACTCATAGCCATCACTCTTATGTTAATCAGCTACCTGGCATTGTATAAATTTTACTCTTATGTAGAAATACTCAAATGTAAGATGCAAACAAAATTAATGTGGTTGGATGTCGTGTATACAATACCGTCATAGTTAAAGCACACCAAGTCCCATTTTACATATACAACAAAACAGATATGTTTTCAAATAATCCCTTGATTTAAATTCACCATCAAGGTCCATGATCTGAATAAATGAGAAAGCTACAGAAGTCATAGAAATTCAGACATGGCCAGTGTCTCACCTGATTCCTAAGATCTTCAATGATTGGATAGTATTTGCTGTAATCTCTTCCAGCTCCACCGTCTCCAGACCCAGGCCCAAATTTGTCATACCACTCCTTGATTTTGTTCTCCAGATCAGCCTCCTCCAGGGCTCTGACTTTGCCTAGGTAATTGGCCAGCCAGTCACTGAGGTTCTGCATGGTTTGCTTTTCACCTCCAGAGAAAAGCCCCCCATGGCCAACACCACCACCCATACCACCACCATAGCTATAGAAGCCTCCGCTAGCACCCGCCCCCGCCGAATCCAGCCCCTCCACCAAAGCCAATCCCAGAGCCTGAAGCTCCTCCCAAACCGCCCCCTATTGAGCAGCTACCAAAACCCCCTCCAAAGCTGCCTCCAAAGCCCCTGCTGCAGCCCCCACTCAGGCCACAGCTGCCGGCCCCTCCTCGGAATCCCCGGGCAGAGCCTCCCCCCAGACTGCATCTGCTTCTGCTGCTGAAGCTGCTGCCACCAGCCCTGGAGGAGGACACGCGAGATGAGCAAGACATGGTGTTCCTGCAAAGGACTGGTTCGTCCAGGTGAGGAGAGGAGATTGGGAACAGCCTATTTGCAAGCTGCCTTTTTGGCCCTTATATACATACTTTTAGGGTGTTCCTTTTCCATGTCAGTTATTAATTCCTGTTACCCTTTTGCTCATCCTCAATTGGATATATATATTTTTCCTCCTTAATCCACTCTACTGGCTTTTTTTCTGAAGCTGGGTCAGAGCCTCAGGGCATTTACTATATCAAGAAAAAAAGAAAAAAAAAAGGTGGAGCAAAGCAAAAAAACCTATTTTTCAGAATTATACTTTTAATCTTTCAGAGGTTTTGTTGAGTGATAATTCTTTTCTGAAAGAGCAATTCTGTTAAATTTGCTTCATGATTTCCCAGTTGCAGAGCACATCCCCAGATTAACAGATGTAATTAAAATACTTACTAGGACCAGAATGGAAATTTCCCAACAAACTTGTGACTTTTTGTTCATATTGTTTTCTTAAAGTTGAAATGAGCTTTAGCATCAGCATTTGTTTCAGATTTCCTTAATTGTCCTTCTCTGTGATTACTTCAATCAGCATATTTCTAAGGTTGTTGAAGTTTGTGATTTTAGATGATTGTGCTACAAAGATGCCTTTCTTTCTGACTGAATTTGACTCTGATATAATGATACCAATTTCCTTCTTTAGAATCAAATCCTAAGAAACGAAGAGATAATGTTGATTTCTTTGATAACTGGAGAAGGGGATCTGAGTCACTTCTTTTAAAATTTATTTATTATTATATTTTTGGCTGTGCCACAGGGCATATGGGATCTTAGTTCCCTGACCAGGGATTGAACCCGTGCCCCCAGCACTGGAAGCACAGGGTCCTAACCACTGGATGGCCAGGGAATGCCCTAAATTTATTTTATTTTTTATTTTATTAAAAAAATTTTATATGAATCACTTTTTAAAAATAGATCTTTATTGGAGTATAACTGCTGCACAATACTGTTAGTTTATTTGTTGTACAACAAAGTGAATCAGCCATATGCATATATATATCTCCATATCCCCCTCCCTCTTGAGCCTCCCTCCCACCCTCCCTATCCCACCCCCTCTAGGTGGTCACAAAGCACAGAGCTGATCTCCCTGTGCTATGCTGCTGCTTACCACTAGCTAGCTATTTTACCTTTGGTAGTGTACATATGTCAATGCTACTCTCACTTTGCCCCAGCTTCCCCCGCCCCCACCCCGTGTCCTCAAGTCCATTCTCTATGTCTATGTCTTTATTCCTGCCCTGCCCCTAGGTTCATCAGTACCTTTTTTTTTTCTTTTTAGATTCCATATATATGTGTTAGCATATGGTATTTGTTTTTCTCTTTCTGACTTACTTCACTCTGTATGGCAGACTTTACATCCAACCATCTCACTACAAATAACTCAATTTCATTTCTTTTTATGGCTGAGTAATATTCCATTGTATATATGTCGATGCCCCAGCTTCCCCCTTCCAGCCTTTGTCCTCAAGTCCATTCTCTATGTCTATGTCTTTATTCCTGCCCTGCCCCTAGGTCATCAGTACTATTTTTTCCCTTTTTTTTAGATTCCATATATATGTGTTAGCGTATGGTATTTGTTTTTCTCTTTCTGACTTACTTCACTCTGTATGACAGACTTTACATCCAACCACCTCACTACAAATAACTCAGTTTCATTTCTTTTTATGGCTGAGTAATATTCCATTGTATATATGTGCCACATCTTCTTTATCCATTCATCTGTCGACGGGCATTTAGGTTGGTTCCATGTCCTGGCTACTGTAAACAGTGCTGCAATGAACATTGTGATACACGTCTGTTTTTGAATTATGGTTTTCTCAGGGTATATGCCCAGTAGTGGGATCACTGGGTCATATGGTAGTTCTATTTTTAGTATTTTAAGGAAACTTCATACTGTTCTCCATAGTGGTTGTATCAATTTACATTCTCACCAACAGTGCAGGAGCATTCCCTTTTCACCAGCCTTTATTGTTTCTAGACTTTTTGATAATGGCCGTTCTGACAGGTGTGAGGTGATACCTCATTGTAGTTTTGATTTGCATTACTCTAATAATTAGTGATGTTGAGCATCTTTTCATGTGCCTCCTGGCCATCTGTATGTCTTCTTTGGTGACATGTCTATTTAGGTCTTCCACCCATTTTTTAATTGAATTGTTTGTTTCTTTGATACTGAGCTGCATGAGCTGTTTGTATATTTTGGAGATTAATCCTTTGTCAGTTGCTTCGCTTGCAACTATTTTCTCCCGTTCTGAGGGCTGTCTTTTCATTTTGCTTAAGGTTTCCTTTGCTGTGCAAAAGGTTTTAAGTTTCATTAGATCCCATTTGTTTATTTTTGTTTTTATTTCCATTACTCTAGGAGGTGGGTCAAAAAGGATCTTGTTGTGGATTATGTCAGAGTGTTTTTCCTATGTTTTCCTCTAAGAGTTTTATAGTGTCTGGTTTTACATTTAGGTCTTTAATCCATTTGGAGTTTATTTTTGTGTATGGTGTTAGGGAGTGTTCTAATTTTATTCTTTTACATGTAGCTGTCCAGTTTTCCCAGCACCACTTACTGAAGAGGCTGTCTTTTCTCCATTGTATGTTCTTGCTTCCTTTGTCATAAATTAGGTGACCATATGTGCGTGGGTTTATCTCTGGGCTTTCTATTCTGTACCATTGACCTAGATTTCTGTTTTTGTGCCAGTATCATACTGTCTTGATTACTGTAGCTTTGTAGTATAGTTTGAAGTCAAGGAGCCTGATTCCTCCAGCTCTGTTTTTCTTTCTCAAGATTGCTTTGGCTATTTAAGGTCTGTTGTGTTTCTATACGAATTTAAAATTTTTTGTTTGAATCCTGTGAAGAATGCCACTGATAGTTTGATAGTGGTTGTATTGAATCTGTAGATTGCTTTGGGTAGTATAGTCATTTTCACAATATTGATTCTTCCAATCCAAGAACATGGTATATTTCTCCATCTGTTTATGTCATTTTTGATTTCTTTCATCAGTGTTTTATAGTTTTCTGAGTACAGGTCTTTTGACTCCTTAGGTAGGTTTACTCCTAGGTATTTTATTCTTTTTGTTGTGATGGTAAATGGGTTTGTTTCCTTAATTTCTCTTTCTGATTTTTCATTGTTAGTGTATAGGAATGCCAGAGATTTCTGTGAATTCAATTTGTATCCTGCAACTTTACCAAATTCATTGATTAGTTCTAGTAGTTTTCTGGTGGCATATTTAGGATTCTCTATGTATAGTATCACGTCATCTGAAAACAGTGACAGTTTTACTTCTTTTCCAATCTGTGTTCTTTTTATTTCTTTTTCTTCCCTGATTGCCATGGCTAGGACTTCCAAAACTATGTTTAATAAGAGTGGCAAGAATGGATATCCTTGTCTTGTTCCTGATCTTAGTGGAAATGCTTTCAGTTTTTCACCATTGAGTATGATGTTTGCTGTGGGTTTGTCATATGTGGCCTTTTATTATGTTGAGGTAGGTTCCCTCTATGCCCATTTTCTGGAGAGTTTTTTTTTTTATCATAAATGGTGTTGAATTTTGTCAAAAGCTTTTTCTGCATCTACTGAGATGATCATATGGTTTTTATTCCTTAATTTGTTAATTTGGTGTATCACATTGATTGTTTTGCATATATTAAAGAAACCTTGCATCCCTGGGATAAATGCCACTTGATCATGGTGTATGATCCTTTTAATGTGTTGTTGGATTCTGTTTGCTAGTATTTTGTTCAGGGTTTTTGCATCTATGTTCATCAGTCTATAATTTTCTTTTTTTGTGATATTTTTGTCTGGTTTTGGTGTCAGGGTGATGTGGCCTCGTAGAATGAATTTGGGAGTGTTCCTCCCTCTGCAATTTTTTGGAAGAGTTTGAGAAGGATAGGTATTAGCTCTTCTCAAATGTTTGATAGAATTCACCTGTGAAGCCATCTGGTCCTGGGCTTTTGTTTTTTGAAAGGTTTTAAATTACAGTTTCAATTTCATTACTTGTGATAGGTCTGTTTATATTTTCTAATTCTTCCTGGTTCAGTCTTGGAAAACTGTACCTTTCCAAGAATTTGTCCATTTCTTCGTGGTTGTCCGTTTTATTGGGATATAGTTGTTTGTAGTAGTCTTTTATAATCCTTTGTATTTCTGCAACGTCAGTTATGATTTCTCCTTTTTCATTTCTAATTTTATTTATTTGCATCCTCTCCCTTTTTTTCTTGATGAGTCTGGCTAAGGGTTTATCAATTTTGTTTATCTTCTCAAAGAACCAGGTTTTAGTTTTATTGATCTTTGCTATTGTTTTCTTTGTTTGTATTTCATTGATTTCTTCTCTGACCTTTATGATTTCTTTCCTTGTACTGACTTTGGGTTTTCTTTGTTCTTCTTTCTCTAGTTGCTTTAGGTGTAGGGTTAGATTGTGTATCTGAGATTTTTCTTGTTTCTTGAGGTGAGCTTGAACTGCTATAAACTTCCCTCTTAGAACTGCTTTTGGGTCATTGTGTTTTCATTGTCATTTGTTTTTATGTATTTTTAAATTTCCTCTTTGATTTCTTCAGTGATCTCTTGGTTATTTAGTAGTGCACTGTTTAGCCTCCATGTATTTGTGGTTTTTACAGTTTTTTTTCCTGTAATTGATTTCCAATCTCATAGTGTTGTGGTCAGAAAAGATGCTTGATATGATTTCAATTTTCTTAAATTTTCTGAGGCTTGATTTGTGACCCAAGATGTGATCTATCCTGGAGAATGTTCTGTGTGCACTTGAGAAGAAAGTGTATTCTGCCACTTTTGGGTGGAATGTTCTATAAATATCAATTAAATCTATCTGGTCTATTGTGTCATCTAAAGCTTGTGTTTCCTTATTTATTTTCTGTTTGGATGATCTGTCCATTGGTGTAAGTGGGGTGTTAAAGTCCTCTACTATTGTTGTGTTACTGTCGATTTCCCCTTTACAGTTGTTAGCATTTGCCTTATGTGTTGAGGTGCTCCTATGT